TCCTCTCTCTCTCTCTCTCTCTCTCTCTCTCTCTCTCTCTCTCTCTCTCTGTGTTTGTCTCTCTCGCGCGCGCACGCGCGTGCGCCATTGCGTTCGACGCAGGGGGAATGCATTTGTCGCGTTGAAGTGTTTGGGCTTGCCCGGCAAATAAGGTGCGGCCGAACGCAACGGCCTTTTCTTGTACCTGTTCCCCCTGCGCCCCCCCCCCAGCAGGCCGTCGAAGCCCGGTACCACGTGAGCGCCCTGCTCGACGTCAGGCCTATATCACGCAGGTTTTTAATTTTTTGTAATTACAAAAAGACAATAAAAAAATTGAATGCATCAGGTGGTACCCAACAAGGGACTCTCCCACCCCACACATTCAGAAACCCCGACCCCCCCCCCCCAACTGCCCGAAAGTCAGGTTCGTGGACCCCGTTCATTCACGTCCAACGCGCATTTGAACGAGAGTTTAACGCGAATTCAACACGCGTTCGATTTTTTAACGCAGAACGTGCGTTGAATCCGAATTCGGACACACAGCTGATAGGAACCTCAATATAATTTCTTAATGGAAGACGTGTCGATAGGTACGAGTCGTGTGAATGATGTGTGCAAGAAAGACAAAGAGTCAGACACATCATTCTCATCACAACAGATACTCTATGACCTTTCGCTAGATTTGAAACTTTATTCATAAAGCTTCTGATATGATCGTATTGATAGAAATGATGTTGAGATCATATTGATAGTTAAAATGTCGATATCGTATTGACATGTAATTGATTAGAAGTTCTCTGAATTGGTAGATGTTTTCAAAAGGACACACTATAAATGCATACAACGCTGCCACATGTTCTCTTATGATAACATGTTAGTAAATGACCTTACCCATATCACTCAATGGAAAGACTTCTACTGATGAACTAAACTCTATTTATGCAGACACCCCGATGGGATATAACTTTTGTGCATTTGATTTTGGGTTTCCGGCTTAGTCTTTTCTTGATGATGAGTAGATTAGAAGTATTGCAAGGCATAAAGCCTTTTTATCTTCTACGTTCATTGATAGGTCATGACCTGTCTCTTTGATGTTTGTTGAGAGATCAAAAATTTATGCTCTCGTTGGTGTTTTCCGTTTATGTAAAATGTTAACGACATCTTCTTACCTTAAATTCATCCTTGTGCCTATTTATAATGTATGTATTTCATTGGGAATGACTCTCACATATGAAGCGTCGTGCTAGCCCACAACCTACTAAAGGGTCGCATGTTGTCGAGACGCACAACCATTCGCCCTGTTATCGCAAGCGCTACAGCTCGTCAAAGAAGTTGACCTCAATCATAAAGACGGTTTTGGAAAATCAATATTCTGATCTCCGACATTCATACGGGTCAGTCTTAGGTGTTATACCGCGTGTATGCCTATGCTACAACAATCGAGAAAACACCCTTGGTTGGCCTACCTTTGCGATTGCAAGTAAAAACCTTCATATATGGGTCACTAGCTCAGCAGGGATACACTTACTTAAGGGTGATGACAACCCCTCTGGTAAAGGTAACTAGTACCATCGCGGAACCTTGACCTATAGCAAAGGAGCCACAAAGAATATTTGTTGGCACGCACAATTGGAGTGATGTTTTGTTAGACGGCGAGAACACTCTTGCGTGACACGACCGTGAAGGTCCGACGCTTGCGACTGTGTGCTACTACAGATGGCGCCGTTGCCCGGGACGTTTTGTTGTCAGCCGGGGTCCTATGCGTTCTGTGGACTTCGGCGACCTACCGAAGTCCTACAAGTACTAGGCAAACTGAAACGTAAATTAGTATTATAAAACTTTGATGAGAGAGACATGTATTTTGCTGTCAAAAATATTCTTGTAATTATACTCGTATTTAGGGTAGGTTAGAAGTTCGTCTTAAAGATATGTTACGTCGTATGCGTACCTTGGTCTTAACTATGACAACATCTGTTAGAAAATTGCAGATCCTGGTACCATACAGTTTCTGGTGACGCTATGCGCATTTAATCTGCGAACGGATCCGGGCCGCCCGGCCGACCGGCGCCTGCCCGGGGGAGGCCCCGGGCGGCCTGGCTGGGCGGGCGGCCCGGTTGGGGGCCGGCCCCCCCCAACACACCTTATTGGCGGGAGGGTTCAGACCCCGAATCGGCTCGATTTCGCGATGCTAGGGCCTACCGGGTCCGACCACACCGAGAAAACGGCGCGTCGGGCCTGTGACGCCTGCTTTTTTTTTTTTAATTTTCGACGGCCCTCCGGCCGTCGATCACCGTCGATCATCCATGATCGACGGCCAGAGGCCAGTTCATTTTTGGAGGGAAAAAGGAGGCCCCGTTTGAACAAGCGACTGGCTGGGGCGGTCTGCATTGGCTTTCCAAACGGGGCCCCTGCTCCAGCCGCCTGCGTTCGTCCTTGGTGTGCGTGCGTCGTCGAAGCAGCTGCCCGTCGTCGCCATCGCCTGGGAGCTTCACTCGCCCGTCGTCGTCGAGTCGCCAGCGTCGTCCATCGTGGTGCTCATCGACGAGGACTGCCTGCCAGCATCCACTGCCGCCCGTCGACGAGGACTGCCGGTCCGTTCTTCTTCTTTTTCGTCTTTTTCTTCTTCTTCTTCTTCTTCTTCTTCTTCTTCTTCTTCTTCTTCTTCCCTCCTCCTCCTCCTCCTCTTATTTTTCTTCTTCTTCTCTCCTCCTCCTCCTCCCCCTCTCATTTTCTTCTTCTTCTTCTTCTTCTTCTTCTTCTTCTTCTTCTACCTCTTCTGCTTTTCTTCTACCACGACTTCTTCACTCCTCCTCCTCCTCCCCCTCTCATCTTCTTCTTCTTCTTCTTCTTCATCTCTCGTCGTCGTCCTCCCCCTCATCTTCTTCTTCTTATTGTTCTCTCCTCCTCCTCCTCTTCCGACTATCTTCTTTTTCAAAAGTTTTTGTTTTTGTTTTTTTTTACATTCGTTCATGATAGGTCGCGAGATAAATGGCAGGTAAAAAAAAAAAAAAAAAACTGCTCCACTCGTCTTCTTCTTCTTCTTCTTCTTCTTCTTCTTCTCTCCTCCTCCGGCTCCCTTCTCCGCCTCCCCCTCATCTTCTTCTCCTTCCTCTTCTCTCCTTCTCCTTCCTCTGCTCTCCTCCTGCTCCTCCCCCTCATCTGCTTCTCCTTCATCTTCTCTCCTCCTCCTCCTCTTCCGCCCATCTTCTTCTTCTTCTTCTTCTTCTTCTTCTTCTTCTTCTTCTCTCCTCCTCCGCCTCCCCCCTCATCTTCTTCTCCTTCCTCTTCTCTCCTCCTCCTCTTCCGCCCATCTTCTTCTTCTTCTTCTTCTTCTTCTTCTTCTTCTTGTAGGACCGCCACCACACCATACAGCCCTGCCGCCGCCGCTAGAACTTTGCGAATTCGGACCGTCGGATCCAATGTCCGAACGGCGGTCCTGATCGCAGGCCCAAGTCTTGGTCCTACGATCCTGGCCAAGAACGGCCTGCCTGGATCCCTACCGGACGTCCAGACAACCCTGTTGATGCAGCAGGGCCCCGGGGACTGGGCAAGGCACAAACAGAAACGCCTGGTCCAGTCCCACATACGGACAAATCTGAACCTGGCCTACAACGGCCAAAACTGAATCACCCAGCAAAAAAATAATAAATGCTAAATAACAGAGAGCACACGTGGAACCAAGTGTGTGCCTGGCCTGGAAAAATGGCTGTGGGCAAAAATGGGTGTGCGGCCTGGGGGCCTGGAACAACCTTCGGGCCCCAAAACAAGGCCCGTGTAGCGGCCTCAGCATGTGTGTGTGTGTGTG